TAAATCCCGGTTAATTATTGAATAACTTGCGCTAAGAAGAGATAGCAACGTAAAGCTGATAATTACTTAGGTTTTTTTTTTCTTTTAAATGAAAAAGATTATTTTATTGATGCTCTGAGGTGTACAATTTCGACAAAACCACCATTGCGTTTTCAACATAATTACGCAATTGTCCCAACGTACAACCTGGAACAGCACCACCTCCTTCTTTAGTCTTTCTCCTCTCCTAAAATCAGCTCATCGGCAGCAGCAGCAGTTTCCGCGGTGACTCTCGCCGTCTGCCTAGGGTTTTGTCATTGAGCTTAATTTGGGAATTTTTCTCCTGTTCCCAATTATCAATCAAGGTACTGCTATTCTCTTCCTTTTACTTTTGTATAGTGTATTTGTCTCCCTTTTTAATGCTTTCTGAATCCAGCATTTGGGTTTCTTTCTGGAAAATTTATGGTAATTTGTGGAGAATTTGTATTTTTAGTTATGGATTTTGCATGATTAGATTCAAAAAGCACTAAGGCTGTAGTCTTGTTACTGACGAGGTTTTTTTCAGGTTGTATATGTGCATGCTAAGTGTATATAGCAATCTTCAGAGCTGTTCCTGGTGAAGAAAATAGGATGAACATGGAGTTGAATCATTTATGGGTACATGCAGTAGTGAGATTACGGAATTTGTGAACTTTTAGCATGTCTATGGAAGTCACTCAAGTCAGCTCTTGGAGTGGCACTGACACATTACACTTTTTATATTACTCAAGGACATAGATCTTAGAAAGTGCAATTCTCCTGCACCCATAGTGTGTGCAATTCCTGGTTTTCAAAAATGAGCCATGCTAAGGAAGAACCCTCATTCGGCACTCAATGGGTATGTGTTAACTGAAGAAGTTGGATATGCAAAACCTTGCTTTACCACCCTTGTGTTGTGGCCCTTTTTGTTAGACACCATCTTGTACCTTTTTGTTTAAGGGGAAAAAAAAATACAGTTCAGCTTCTTCCAGAGCTCATAGTTATGTCTGCATATTTTTGAACAGGCTATTAATGTGATTTCAGCAGTTAAGGGGATTCACAGGCTTAGCTCACATGAGCTGAGTAAGTTGCTGAGGGATTCTGAGAATTTTACCATTAACTTTGTTAATGAAAAAGAATTGTCAGATAAGGTACAAAACCTGATGGCCTTTGTTTTCTTTCTTTCTTTATTTATTTATTTTTTCTTGTCATTCCCTTGCTTTTTCTGACATATAACATCTTAAATTCACATCTTTCAGATTGATATGGAAAAACTTGCAGGCTGTCTTCCTTTGCACCTCATTGCAGTTCTTATATCATCTGATAGAGATGAAGCTGTGTTCAGATATTTGTTGTGTGGCATGAGGCTTTTGCATTCCCTATGTGATTTAGCTCCTCGACATGCTAAACTAGAGCAGGTTGCTTTTCATAATCCTCATCTGGGGTTTTTCTTGTAACTTTTAAGATTTTTTTCGTCACATTGGTCTTTGTTCTTGTTATTGAACTGTCTTTTTCTCATTTCCGTGGTTTTTTTTTTTTTTTTTTTTTTTTTTTTTTTCCTTTTTTCATGAAATTCTTCAAAAGACTTTTTTTGAATGATATGAGATCCTCTTCTTCTTATCCTTTTCCCTTCTGGTATTGTTTCAGATATTGCTTGATGATGTAAAAGTATCAGAACAGCTGCTAGATCTTGTCTTTTATTTGCTAATTGTACTCAATAACCATAGAGAGGTTTTTTCCCCGACCTTGTCCTTTATATATTATCTTCCTTGCAATTTTTAGTTTATTTATTCCTTCTTGTTTAATGTTGTAGGAGGTCCATAATTCGGGTCCTTTGCCTCTTTTACATTCAGCACTAGTGGCATGCAGCCTCCATCTATTGAGTGCTTGTATCTCTTCACAGTGGCAAGATCTTGCTCAAGTGTTGGTAGTGCACCCTAAGGTAGAACTTACTTGAGAGAATTATATAAATTTGCATGTTTATGCAATTAATTGCAAGCTACTTCCCTTTGACTTTTCTCTCTCTCTCT